AGTTTTTGTTCTTCCGATGGAATCTGGTGTTTTAAATTGGACTCTTTTGACGGTACCAAAGGAAGTACTACTTATTCGATCATGTTTGCGAATCGAGTATCTACCGTACAATCATCTGTTGATAACGAAACTGTTTGTGATATTTTTAATCTTTGTACATGGACTATTCCAAATCACGGATTTGACATGTAACATCGAAACAAAAATAGATATTTTATCTCTTATAAAAGTCATTATTAATTGTTATTTTTGACCAAATAGTTTAGGAAGAAATATTTAATGTTATTTAGTAATTGATCTTTTTGACTATGTAAATTATGAAATATTCTATGTTAAATTATTTTATTTAATATACAAATATTCATAAATAGATTATGTAAAATTCTATTTCATAGTTATATTTTTTTACTATATTGAATGACACTACTTTTGTTTAAATAAAGTGATATTATAGCCTCATTGAATTATAATTACTAATATGGGTAAATCATATGATCCGTACATATTATCGTGTACCCCGATGTCTCATTCACGTAGTAACCAGCTGTTACTTTTTAATATTTTGATTGAATTTTAAGTCTCCGGCAATATGAAGAATCCTCAGGGCTTAAATTTGTTGACGAAGAAAGCAAACATTATTAATGGACCGGCACTGCAGAATGTTGCGATACTTCTTTTGAGTATGGCATTTTTTAAAACTACTGTCATTTTATTTTTTCAAATTTCAAAATTTTAATTTGTAGATAATTAAAATAAAATGTTGATTTTTGCTAGTTTAATACAAAGTGTTTTTTCATGGTTGATCAGTCCCAAGAATAGGTCAACCATTCGGTCAAAATCGGTCAGAAACGACCATTAGCATTCCTAAATACATCTTTGCGATATTTTCGTTTTCGCCATTACTAACTTCATAAGTTTTAAATTGTAACTTCGTTAATTAGTTATTAGTTTAGCATATTGACATTGCCGACGTTGAGGCAACACTTTTTAATTGATATTATTAAATAAATTTCTCGTCATAATTTTTCTTTAATTAAATCCTTCTGCTTTCATAAATACATAAACGAAAGAATAATAGGAAAGAAAAATTTTTAAATTTTGAGCAAACAAAAACTATTATAATCTCATAAAAACAAGAATGTATATAAAGCAGCAACGATCAACATAAATATCATTTCGAGAATAAATCAGCTGATGATTTTGTAATACCCAAGTTTCGTATAAATCATTTCGTAATTAAAGAATCGAAGAAAATAACGTTATGGCTGCAAGAATTGGAATTGGTTTGGAAGAAAATGAGAGTCTTAAACAACATAAAGTCCTTCAAGAAGAGAATCGAGAAACTTTACGTATTAATTCTGAATTGAAAGAAGAACTTCAAGAAAAAGATAAGCAATCAGCAAAGCTTCAACAAAAAGTTCTAAATTTGGAAAGTCAAAATAATGAGTTTGAAATAACATCTCAAACGTTAGAAAAATCTCTAGAAATGTTTGGATTAGACGATGTTAATGAGAATAACAATAAAATTCTTGAAGAAAAAAATAAAAAAGAAACAACAAATTTTCCTTTAAAACAATAATGATAGTATTCAACTTGCAAAAAACATTAAAATTCCTCCGAAAATTCGTGGAGCTCTTATAATACAGGTATGTAGTAAGTCATAGTAGAATTGATTGAAAACAATTTTATCATGTTAAAAGCTGGACTGAATTTATCTCATAAATTTTGAAGATAACATTCGAATCGTGGTTGGATTAGACTTTGGAACAACTTACTCTGGATTTGCTTATGGCCATTTTTTTAATTCACAACAAATAATTTGTCATACACGGGACCATTTTTATTTCAAAACTTGTACAGCTCTTGAATACGATAATGAATATAATAAAGTAATATCGTGGGGCTTTTTAGCTAAACGAAATAAAAATAATAATAATCCTGTTGACCTGTTTAAATTACATTTGAGGGGTGCCATCCAAAATCCTGAAACTCAAAATCCCGACAGGTACAAAATCCCGACAGGTCAAAATCCCGAAACTCAAAATCCTGATAGGTCAAAATCATGAAAATATATTTTTATTGTATATATTAGATTTAAATTAATTAGATGTACAAATATAAATTAGTGGATGGAAGGACAGTATATATAGCGGAGTAGTTTAAAGGAAATTTATTACGCAAACTTCTTTAATTACTAAATAGTATTTCGTAATAAGCAACAAACTTTTTATTAATTTTTTAAGATAATATAATCTGATAAAAGTTTATTAATACATATACAATACATTTGTTATTTTTATTAGTGCAATTATATACGAAATATATAAAATAATAAAAAAAAAAAAAAGGCTAAGATGGGGTCTGGGCTCAGAATTCGAAAAAATATCGAAACTTAATTCCAGGCAGTATTAAAGTTTAATGCGGGCCAATTTTTCAAGATTTCGTACCTGTCGGGATTTTGACCTGTCGGGATTTTGAACCTGTCGGGATTTTGGATTTCGGGATTTTGAGTTTCGTGATTTTGGCCTGTCAGGATTTTGAGTTTCGGGATTTCGTACAGGTAGATAGAAAACTGGTACAATACGATTCGCCAGACCAGTACGGTACGATTATGCAGATCAGTAATTTTGTTGAAATTTGACATCGTACCGTACCGAACTGATCCTATAATAATTATATAACCAATACAGTACGATGATATAGACTGATTTTATTAAATTCGTACCGTACCAGTTTTCTATCTACCCGTACCATACTGGTCCTATAATAACTAAACCCTATTATAGGACCAGTACAGTATGGTACGATGTCAAATTTCGCATTTTTTTTATTTTTTATTTTTTTTTATCTAATATATTTTTTATATTTTTTAATTTTTTTTAGTATATACAGTATATTTATTTTTAATTGATTTTTTTCTTTTTTTTTAGTTTTTTCTTTTCTTATTAATTTTTATTTTTTATTTCATTTCTATATTTTCGTTTTCATTTTATTTATTTGATTTATCATTTTTTCTTTGCAATACTATACTTTCGTGATCATTTTAATTATTTGATTTTTTCATTTTTTTTTTTTGCAATTCGTTTCGTTTCTTTTTTACTTTTTTTTATTTTATTTTCTTTTTTCTTTTTTATTTTAGATTTTTTTTTCTTTTTTTCTTTTTTTTCAAAAAATTAAAATAAAAAGAATAAAAAAAATGAAAATAAAAATAAAAATAAAAAAAAATATTTCCGCGGATATGGCATTTAATTGATAGTAACTTCACAGGTTATCAGAGATTACTACACAGTTCACGGGAGTATATTTAATTGGTTAGGATTTTGCACGTAAGTGGCAAAATCCCAACCAATTAAATATAGCTCACGTGAACTGTGTAGTAATCTCTGATAACCTGTAAGTTACGATATAATTATTCGGTCCTGATCATGATAAAATTTTATTTGCTTTCTTTTCTCTTCCTACTTCCCCCTTCCTTTTACCATTTATACATTTTTTATTATGCCAAAAGCAAAACAAAAACCATTTGTAAAGGTATATATTATCTTTAAAGCTATTTATTTTCAAACAATTTTTAGCAATATTTAAATTTTATTTTTATTAGCCAACTTTTAAATACAATGAACCCAGTATTAAAGAAATACAAGCAATAGTTAGTTCTAGCCGTTGTCCTTCAACTGATAAGTCTACCAACAACTGGATTATACAATTAGAAAAGTTTCGAAAAGATATAAATTTAAATGGAAAAATTGAAGAAATTGATAACGAAAAGGAACTTGAAGAACAAATCATTAAATTTATTGTAGCAATGCGAACAGTTAATGGAAAAGATTATAAAGCACAATCTGTCAAAGTTGGAGTTTATGCTATTGCACGATATTTATCTGAACATTCTGTAATCCATCAAGTAAATATATTAAATTAAGAGAAATTCTATAAATTATGGCAAGTAATTAATGGAAATTTTAAACAACTTGCAAGGCAGGGACTAGGTAAATGAAGAGCTGCTTCTCCTTTAAGTGAAAGTGAAGTTGCTATGATTTTTAAACATCCTCAATTGGATAAATCTACACCAGAAGGGTTATTATATCATGTTTTTCAGAAATACAATTTTTTATTGCTTAGAGGAGGCGAGCATTATAAATTATTAGCATCAAATTTTAAGAAAAAGAATGATGGTTGTTTTACTGTTTGTTTATATGAATCAAAAGCAAATCAGAGAAATATAAATCAATCTGAAGCACAAGCTGATATTCTATATATCTCAGGTGATGATCCTAATATAATACAGGATTATGATGATTATTTCGAAAAAAGACCAGTTGATTCTGATTTGCAGTTTAATTTACAGCCAAATTCTTTAGAATATGGTAAATATTTTATTATTCTTTTAACTTTATTAAAATCTAATCTTATTATTTTTTAATATAGCACAAAGGACTGGAATCTGATTCAAGAAATCACACATTAGACAAAATCGTCTTTATTCATTTATAAGTGATATATGCAAATCTACTAGTATCAATATTAAAGATCGTTTTATTAGTAACCATTCAGAAAGAAAAATTGGTGTTACAATTTTAAAGTCAAATGGTGCTTCAGATCCAGAAGTTATGGCTTTATCGTGACATAAAACTATTAAAAGATTAGCAGCATATAAATGACCTTACGAAGTTTTATAAGAAATTAGTTCAAAAAATTTAATACAAGCTATTTCTAATGTAACACAATCTAATAAAATTGGTAAATATAAATTATTTTATATTTTAATTATTTTAATCAAATTACAAATTTTAATATTTTTTTTTTAGATAATCAATTAAATCAACCCAAAAATTTCACTTCGGCTCTTTCTTTTTATCAAGGTTTATATTTTATCATTTTAATTTATGCATTTTTTTTATAAAAATTAACCAATCTTTATATCTGTAGAATCGCAAAAAGTTCACCAAGATAACCAAAATAATAATTTTATTGAACATAACAGTTCTGTACAATAAACTTCGATAAACAAAAGTAAATTTATGGAAAATAATTTCTCACTTCTGGCATTTTTAAAAGATAATACTTTCCATAATTGTTCTTTTACCTTTAATATTAATAATAATTCTTAAATCACTAATAATATTATATAATAAATAATTATGTATATCGAAATTGCATTGTTATTATTTAATAGCTTATAATTTATAATACAACGGACAAAGTTTAAATAAACAAGCACTGTAAAAAATTACTTAACAGACAAAGTATTATGATCATATACAGTCATGTAATTATTAATAAAATGTGATATAATGATTTTTTTTTAATATAATAAAATCTGTTCATTATATCAAAATTCGTTTGTATATATATATAAAATAAGTAATAAATAAAAATAAATTTTACAAAATTTTATTGCGTATCATGTTGTACAAGTCCTATAATAGGACTTAATTATTATAGTACAATATCAAATTTTAACAAAAATACTGATCTGCATAATTATACTGTACTGGAGTATATGAAAAACTAGTACAGTATGATTTGTCAGACCAGTATAGTATTATGCAGATCAGTATTTTTTCGTGAGAAATTTGAATCGTACCATACCGTACTGATCCTATATATAAAGCATTATTATAAAACCAGTACAGTACAGTACAAATTTAGAAAATTCGTTCTGGTTCGTACTGCATCATTATTAAAATCTTAAAGTTTATATTTCTGACATAAAGTTCAACGGTATGTTTGTCAAAATAACTTTAATTAAATTAAATTAAAAAGAAAAGCGTTACTACATAAAAATTAAAATAATTTAATTACAAAACAATAATTTATTTTATTATGATGCATTTGTCCTTCAATAAAAAATGATTATATTATTATTATTTTTTTTATTGAAATAAAAAGGAACATAATCAATAATCAGTTAAAATTTTTAATTTTAAAATATTACAAACTTTATAATAAATTCACTATGTTATCAACGTCTATTACGAAAAGTCATACCATACTGTACTATACTAATCCTATAATAAAAGCTCTATATATACTACTGGAATAGTATGGTACAATTCAAATTTGCAAAAAATACTGATCTGTATAATCATACTGTACTGATCTAGCGAATCATACTGTATTGATTTTCTATCTACCTCTGTACTGGTCTGGTGAATCATACTATATTAGTTTTCTATATACTTTTTTTGTATTATACTCATTTAAGGTATATACTGGATAAGTTTAAACCAAAGCTTCCAGTTAGATATGAAAAGGCTATTACTGATTATCCTAGAGAAATTGAATAGGTGTGATTAAAAATAATCAAAGTTATTAGTATGTTATTAATTTTAATTTCTTGAATGAAATATTTAAGGTAATTACTGACCTTTCAATACACTAGGATTATTTAAATTTTTATAAGAATGTATTATTAGCTCTTACATTCCTCGCTGTATATTTGAAAAATGCAAGATCATTTATGAGAGTATGTGTATATAATGCAGGGTTGATTGTAGATAAATATTTAAATTAATTGCAATTGGTTATATAAGGTAAGAATATTTGCTATTGATTACTTTATTCTCTTAATCTTTAATTTCTAATTTAATATGCATATTACTAGGTGAAGTTGCTATGATATATTGCATGAAACAGCTTCAAAAACATGAACTTGAAACAGGAAGTATGTTAAAAATTATATATAGTTATATTAATTATATTTAATTTAAGATTCCTATCAAAATAAATTATAGTAAATTTCATGGTTGTCGACTGTGGTAGTGATACAGTAGATTTGACTACTCGTAAATTGATTAATAAAATTAATTTGTTGAAATCACTAAAAGATCTTGTGATTTTTGTGAAAGCACTTATATTGATAGAGAATTTATCATGTATTTAAATAGAAAAGTTGAATATAGTGCTATGAAAATGCTCAGAAAAAACCATTATTAACAAATGCAATATTTAATTCAAGAATTTTTAATCAATGTAAATCACTTTTTACTGAAGAATACTAAGACTTTAGTACTTTATATTGGATTTTGAAGAATTTGCTTCTGAGATAAAACAATATATTACAGATAAGAATAAAAAACATTTAGAAATAGAGAATTGGTTAATTGAACTTAACTTTAATGACATAAAATCAATGTTTGACCCTATTGTTAATATAGTTTTACAGTTGATTCAATTACAACTCAATAATTCACCTAAAACATGTTTGGCAATGTTTATAGTTAAAGGTTTTAGTGAATCAAGATATTTACTAAAGAGAATTAGATAAGCATTTCAACATAGAGTAAGAATTATTTTAACTCCTATTCAACCTACAATTGCGATTGAACGTAGAGCTGTGATATATGGATTATCTTCTATGAATTTAGATTCAAATGTTATTGCTTCAAGAATTATTAAATATACTTATAGTATTAAAGTAAGAAAATATTGGGTAAGTAATTAATCATTATCATATCATAAATTTTAATATGCTCATGAACTTATATTTCACATTTTCTTTAGACAAAAGATTATTCAATTCATAGAAAAGTTAATAATAGGCATATTAATAAAATTCATTGTTTAGCCAAGCGTGATACTCTAATAAATGTTAATCAAAAAATTACATATTCTTATTTATCACTCTATTCTACTCAAACAAAAGTAGTTTTTTATCTATATTATACTAATGAGTTTGATGCAAAATATTATGATAAATCTGAAATGAAACTTTTAGAAAAGCTTACCATGAATCTTCCTAGCTCAGGTTTCAATAATCTTTCTTTTAGATTAGCTTTTAGATAAATAGAAGTTTCTGCCACTTAAAAAATGAAAAACAAACATATATTTAAGATTAATTTTAAATTTGATGTCAATTAAATATTATAAATATTTTAATATGATGAGAAATTTTTTTTATTTAGAAAACTATTATTTTATATCTTATTTTTTAAAGTTCTTTTTACACATTTATCTGTTTATTTTTTTAGTATACATAATAAATTGTTATACCTTAAATCTTTTAAAAATATTAGAGAAAATTCTATTATTTTTGATTCATGAGTCTTTTGCAAGTAAAATCAAATTAGGAAACTTTTTTATATTAATAAAAGTGGTAATGAGATAATGTTAATATTAAAATGATTTCATTACAGTATTTTTATTTTTGAACAATATAGAAAATTGATCTAAAATCTATTTAAATTAGTCAAAGTTTTTGAATTAATTATAAATATGCATAATAATGATTCCATTTAAGTCCCTCTAAAAATATTATTTTAGGGAATTCTTAAGCTTCTCCCTCATTGTGATTAGCTAGTAATTGAGGTGACGCTCAATCATTATGATCAATTTAAATAATGATCATGATAAACAATTGAGCAAACTTTTTCAATTACTTCATTTTATAATCATTATGTCAAAAATCATAATAAAAAAATGAAAGAATCTATTCAACAAACAAAAGGAACATCTCCAACAATGATTCAAAAGATAAAATATATAAATAAGATAAATATAACTACCTACTCTACTAACTATAAATATAATTAATAAGTATAATGATTATAATTAATCTATCTAATATATTAAATAGATCAATGATGATCACTTTAGCAACTTGGTATAATTCGTCAACTCTGTAAATCATTTTAATCATATGACTAATTAAGGCGCAGTCATGAATCACAGCTTCACCGCTATTCTTTCTCTTCCTTCATTAGTTATAAAATGTTTCTTCATCATCTTTACTATTTTCACCTTCATCATCATCATCAGCTTTTTTAATATCTTCAAGAGATAGCAAATCTCCATTATTTATACAGAAATTATGTAAAATACAGTATGCATGAATTATTTTAATAATTCTTTCCAAATTTGTGCAATAAATCTCCTTTGATAAAATTCTACACCACCACTTTAACCGTCAAAATGCTCATTCAATAACCATTCTTATTGAGTAGTGAATCTTATTAAACTTTCGTTCTCAATGAGTTAATGTATTATAATTAGAAAATACCTTCATCAAGTATGTTTTAAGAGGATATGCAGAATCACAAATAATGTATGTACCGCTTAAAACTCATTATTCTAGATTTAAAGAAATTTCACAATAAAGTGAAGAATGATAAAATACATGTGCATCATAAAAAATTTCTTTTATTAAAAAATTATAAATAAAAAAATATTTTAATAAAGTATTTGTTTATAATATGATTTAAATTGTGAGTTTCTGTCTAAATATTTATAAACTTTTATTTTTAAGATCACGGCTTGGACCTCTCTAGTATCCACTTCCGCTCACTTTCATTCATATTCTAAAATTACCGCACTGATGAGCAAAATCTTCAAAGAATATACAGTCCCCGGCGAAAAGAATGGCGGAGACAGTTTTCGACTGTATGTATAAACTTTATTTTTAATGTTTATTTTTATTTTTTTATTTAAAAGAATAATACTAACGGAACATTTTTTAA